GGGATCACCCCTCTGTGTGTGTGCGTGTGTATGCGTCCGTGGCCCCTTGCCCGCAATACGCAGCCCCCTCGCCGCCGGTCCCGCTGTGCTCCGGTTGTTGCGGTGATAAAAAAATGTATTTCCAACACACGGGGGAGAGGGAGAGAAGAGAGGGCGGCGCGGCCCACACAAAAGGCGGGAACACTTGCCCCTCCTCGCCCCACCTGGGCCCCCACATCTCACCGGAGGATGGGCGCCGCCAAGCGCGCGCACACACAGCCAGCAGCGGCCGCAAGTGCCACTGCGGCGAACTAGTTGATGGACGAATAGCCGAACGACAGGGCCGGGCGGCGGGTGAACACCTGGTCGGCCACACGAGCGTCCAGGGCAAACTGCGGCAGCTTGACCTCGGTCGGGGCGGTCGGGTCGCGCTCGTGACGCCGGCGCAAGAACCACTTGGACAGGCCGAGGTCCACGGTCGGGCGCCAGTCCGGCACCGGGGGCCGGGGCAGACGCGGATACGAGGACGACGGGTCGGCCGTCGGGCAGTGCCCATCGTCGCCGAGCTGGGCCGCGGCCGCGGCCGCGGCAGCAGCAGCCGCCGCCGCCGCCGCCGCCTGGCGCGCCTGCACATTCAGCAGGCCAATCAGGTGGTCGGTGTCGGACAGCGGCTCGGGCTCGGTCGATTGCCGGGGCACGGCCAGGCGCTCCCAGAGGATGTGCGCCGCCATGTTGAAGGCCGCCAGGATGATGATGCTCACCCGGTAGCCGATCGGAGTGTACCGCAGGGAGAAGAGGTTCCCCAGGAAGTCCGACTCCACCAGCGTCACCACCAGGCAGCACCCGATCAGGCCAATGAGCGACACCATGAACCAGGGGCTGCGGAAGCCGCGCTCGCGGTGGACACCGAAGCTCTGGGCCATGGTCGCCGCCACCGAGGGATACTGGAAGGCCGAGAACATGAAGAGCGTCGAGCCGACCTCCGTGCGCAGGGGGCTGTACCCCGGGTCCAGGGGGTCCGGCATGACATAGTGGTTTCGGGTCCGGTAGAACCACCACTGAAGCACCTGGAAGCCCACCAGGATGAACACATGGCCGATGACACTGCGCAGGACCGCCGGCGTCAGCAGGTCCCCCTGGGGCCGGGACCGGCTGACCGAGCGCGAGGTCCGCAGCGTCGGCAAGGCCGCCGCCAGCCCCAGCACCAGCACCAAATCCGCGAAGATGTACTGCACATCGGCGAACTCCAGCAGGTTGACATACAGCAGGAGCACCGCCACAAACTGCACGAACCCATAGAGGAACATGAACTTGAACAGGGAGAAGGAGGTCACCAGGGCATTGCGGCCCTCCGACAGGACGGTGGCCACGGCGCCGATGTGGTGCAGCCGCGTGGCGAAGGGCGCCGCGATGGAGGGGGCCGCCGAGGCGCCGGTGGGCTCGGTGGCCTCCTCCGGCGCCGCCGGAGGGGCGGCCTCCGGGTCGACATCGCCCCCGGTCGAGGCCCCGGTGCCCGGGCCGCCGGAGTGCGCATGGTCCGGGTCCGTCTGGTCCGGGTCCGCGTCAATCGGCCCGGAGGCCGGGGGGGCGCTGGCGATGCTGATGCCCACGTCGGCGGCCTTCAAGGCCCCGGAGTCATTGGCACCATCGCCGGTCATGCACACCACCAGGCCCAGGTCCTGCAAGCGCCGGACCAGGGACTGCTTCTGCTGCGGGGACATCCGGGCAAAGACGCCGGCCCGCGAGAGGACCAGCTCCAGCGGCGTGGCCGGCCGGCCGTAGTGCGCCACCAGGTTGTGGCTTTTCGGCAGGGGGCCACGGCGGCCACCGGGGCGATCCCCCTCGTCCTCATCATCATCATCATCATCATCATCATCATCGAGCACCAGGGCATCCGCATTGTGGAGCTGCTTCTCGAACAGCTGCAGGCATGCATCCGGGGAAAGGGCCGCCAGGCCACCCTGCAGCGGGTGCTCCCCGGTGTCGCCCTCGGCCAAGCCGGACAGGTCAAATTGCGAGGACATGCGCGAAAGCGAGGGGGTGGTGGAGGCCGCGGCCGCGACCGAAGCCACCTCGGCCGCGGCCGCCAGCGCCGCCAGCTCCAAGTGCCGGGCCACCAGCGCCGCGAAGGCGGTCCCGGTCACCGAGAGATCCACATCGAAGCTGCTGGGCAGCATGGCGCCCAGGGCCGACTTGCGTCCGGCCGCCGGGGTGAAGCCCCCCAGGCGCGTCATCGAGGCGGAGTACTGGCGGAAGACCGGCTCGCCGCTCTGGGCCAGGAAGTCGTCCAGGTCGAACACCCGGTCGGCATCCGAGGAGTCGGTCATGAGAATGCGCCGAGGCGCTTCGCCGGCTCCGTGCGACGTTTCGCCCCCATCGCCCCCCTCCACATCGAGGATGAAGCACTGCCGGTCCGGGCGCACGAAGCCCGGGCCACAGCGCCGGGCCACGGCCACCGCCGTCAGGGCATTGTCCCCGGTGACCATCATCAGCCGCATGCCGGCCCGCGAGTAGGCCTCCAGGTGGGCCACGGTTTCGCGCTTCAGCCGGTTCTCCAACACCAGCAGGCCGCAAAAGAGCAGGCCACATTCGAGGCGCGCGCGATCGGCATCGGCCAGGCCGCCCTTGATGGCGGCCTCGGCCTCGGCCGGGTCATCCAACGGCCGCCACGCGGCCGCCAGCACCCGGTACCCCTGCGACGCCAGCGACGCCAGCGATGCCTCAAAGTCGCGAGGAATGGTCTCCGGCCGGCAGAGGGCCCGCAGGGTTTCCGGCGCACCCTTCACCAGCAGCCGCGGGATGGAGGTCCGGTCGGCCGGATCCCCCCCGGTGGCGACCCCACCACCCAGCGGAATGTCCAGGATGATGGACGACATGCGCCGGAGATCGGGATCGAACTCGAACCGGCGCAAGACCGCCAGGGCATTCGGCACGCTGGCCGCCGTAGCAGCATCGTCGGCAGCCAGGTCGCCGACATTGTCGGCCCCGAAGTCCGAGAAGTACTCGCTGATGGATGGCCGGCCGGAGGGGGGGTACTCCGGCATGGCCGGAGCCGGCGGCAGGAAGACCGTCTCTGCCACATTCGGCAGCATCGGGTGCTGCCAAATGAGCGTCGGGCAATTGTACACACCGAGGGAGGAAGACCCGATGGCGCCCCCCCCGGGCCCGGGGGACCCGCCATGGTTGCTGCTCATGATGTACGAGCAGGCCGACTGCTGCTGGTAGCCACCGGCATCCAGAACCCCGGCGGCCAGGAAGGCCGCGGCCCCGGGCGACGAGGTGGCCCGGTTCCCGGCGGAGGGCCCCGCCGAGGGCACCTCATCCGGCCGGGTGAGCATCTGCCAGCCGGACCGCTCGAAGATGGCCACCTCCAGCGGGTCGCCGATCAGGCGTGGCGGGGCCGGCGCCGGGGCCGGCTCCACGGCATTGTTGCTGTTGAAGATGCCCGAGGCGCGGGTGTTGGAGCGAGAGCGCGCGGCCGCGGCGGCGATGGCCGCCGACGATGACGGCACCGGCACCGCGCCCGAGGGCACATCCGGATCTTCCTCCAAGTGGGCCACCGAGTGGCAGGCCACCAGCGTGTGCGACAGAGCCAGGCCGCTGAGCGACGAGGCCACCCGCGGGAGCAGCAGGTCCTCCTGCTGCTGCTGCTGCTGGGCGTGGCGGCTGCCATGGCTGGCGCCGTTGGCCGCGGCCACCGCCTCGGCGGCCGCCTGCGCGCCGGCCATCAGGTCATTGAGGTTCGACGACAGGGGGGCCATGACCAGCGGCTGCCGGTGGCTCGGGGCCGACGCGGCGGCATCGCCGGCCTCCGGCATGACGCCGCACACGCCGCGCAGCGTCAGGCCATCCTCGGTCAGGGTGCCGGTCTTGTCGAAGGCCAGGCAGTTGACGCGGCCGGCGGCCGCAATGCGATCGGTGTTGGTGCAGTACAGGTGCCGGGCTTGCAGGCGCGAGTAGGACGCCGCAATGCCGAAGGTCAAGGCCAGCGGCAGGGTCGGCGGCACGGCGATGGTCACCAAGTTCAGGCAATCGGCGATGATCTTGCCAATGTGCTCGCCATGGCGGATGTAGATGGCCACCTGGGCCACACACCCGAGCACCAGCCCGGCAAAGAGCAGCCACATGAAGCGGTACGTTTGCGAGGTGAAGTCGAACTTGGAGGGCTTCGGGAAGAGGATGGCCCGCACCATGCGGCCCTGCTCGGTGGAGAAGCCCGTGCGCAGGACCATGCCGCAGGGCGGCAGCGCCGGCGGAGCCCCGGGCTCGCTGCCCACCTCCGAGCTGAAGGACCACACGCTGGAGATGCTGGCCTGCGAGGGGGCCACCCCCGGGGGGTGCAGCGCCCCGGGCGGCGGAGCGGCCGACCCCCGGGCCTGCAGCACCCGCGTGCCGGCAAAGAGAATCCGCCGACCGCCAGCCCCGGAGGACGATGGGTCGAAGGAGGCCCGGCCCTCGGGGTCCAGCTCCAGCGAGGTCTTCAACATGGGCATACTCTCGCCGGTGAGCATGGCCTCGTTGACCATGCAGTGGCCGGCCAGCAGGACGATGTCGCATGGCAGGACCATGCCCGGCTCCAGGATGACCACATCACCGGGGACCAGGCGCCCGGAGCTGTCGGCCACGCGCTCAAATTGCAGCACCGGCCCCGGGGCCCCGGTGGTGGCCCGGGGCGTGCCGGGCTTGCTGCCATCGGCCGGGGGGTCGGTGCTGACCGCCGCGAAGGACACACCACCGCGCATGTATTGCACGGTGGACTCGGTGCAGACCATCCGCTCGACGGCCAGCAGGTTGGCCCGACGCGTGTAGGTGTTGCGCGCGATACCGATGAGCGTGAGGATGGCAATGATGGTGGCGTACGAGGTGTACAGCTGTGTGTGTGTGTGTGTGTGCGTGTGTGTGTGCGTGTGTGTGTGCGTGTGCGTGTGCGTGTGCGTGTGCGTGTGCGTGTGTGAGTATGTGTGTCTCCACCGGGGCGCGTAAGGGCAGACTGACGAGCGGCGAGACCCCCCAGCGCGGAGGAGCAAGCAGGAAGGGAGGAGGACAGATGAACCCCCCCTCCAGGCAACTGATGCCCCGCGCAGGGGGGTGTCCACACATGGCGCACCTGTGTGTACCACACAATGATACTGAACAGCTGGAAGACGAAGAACGGCTGGAGCAGCTCCGACATGAAGAGCGACCAGAGGGGCTCCGACAGGACGCGCAGCTCATTCCGACCGTACACCAAGTCGCGCAGGGTCGACAGGAGGGCCGCGCGCTGGGTCAGGTCCTCCGGCAGGGAGGCCGAGCACGAGGCAAACAGCCGCTCCAGCAGCATGTCCGACGAGGTGGCCGCCCCGATGGGCGACATGCCGGCGGCCGACTCGCAGGGGGTCAGCGCCGGCAGCGGGGCCAGCTCCACCGACTCGGCCGAGCCGAGGTCCGCCAGGCGCCGAGCGGCCACCCGGTGAATGTCACCGGCCGAGGTGCGGCTCGGGTCGCCGGTGACGACGCCGGCGCGCGCCTGCTCGGCCAGGGCCTGGGACACGGGGCCGAGCCCGGTGTCGGCGACGAACCCGCACCGGGCCCAGTGGTTGGCCGAGGGGATGAACCAGAAGCGCTCGTAGCGCCAGACGAAGGACCGGGGCAGGGCGGCAAACGACACGGCCGGATGGGTGTCCGGGCTGGCGCAGAAGCGCCGCAGATCCCAGACCGCCTGCCAGCCTACGCGCGCGTACACACACGCATTGGGGGGGGGGGGGGGGGGGGGGGGGGGGGAGCAGAGGGGGGGGGCAGGGGGGGGGGGGGGGGGCGGGGGGGGGGGGGGGGACGCACAGCAATGTCAAAGATCT